CCCACCGCCGTCTTGTGCCTCATGGATCCACTGCTACCCTCTGTGTCGTCTCAGCCGGTTTCTCGGCTAAGGAGGGAGGTCCAGTGCAGGGGTCCTGGGCCCAAGGAGCCAAGCCTGCTCCGCTCCACCTCGGGCTCCTCTCTTGATGGCAGTGAGATTTCCCCCTTCTGCCTGAAGGAGGGCTCATTTTAAGCCTAGCACAATGATAAAACTAACCAATCCCATTAGGGTTCCATGCACCTTAATTCCCTGATCCCACCCCACAAGGGTGTCATGTACCTTATTTACGTTACTAATAAGCAATCCAGTCCCCTCGGTGGGCCAAAAACCCCTTACATTTGCATAGTTCTACCCAGTAACGAGATGGGAGTCACCAAGACCATGCTAGAAGAGCCATAACAAGCAACTCACTGGACTGCAATTGTGTTCTTCTGGAGCCCCTTTGGGGTGCTCTGGTGGCATAGTGCCTAAGGCACTTGACTGCTAACCAGAAGGCTGGCGGTTCACACCCACCAGCCCCTCCTCGGAAGGAAGATGGGGCAATCTACTTCCGTAGTGATACTGCCTCGGAAACGCAAGGAGGGGTCGCTATGAGTCAGGTGCGACTCAATGGCAGTGGGTTTTTGAGCACATTTGTGTTACTAACCCTGAAAGGAAACCCGCATAAAGAGAGCCCCAGCTTCACAGTTAAAATGGAGCAATACAACATTCAATTCCCATTCAAACCATGTAACTCTAGAACTCACAGTTCCAAACTGTTTAGAGACATCATCTCCTTTGATTCTCACAATAATCTTGAGCAAAAGGGAGACCAGAAGTCTATTTCACAGATGAGGACAGGTTCCTGCCATTGCTCCCTGTTCTCCTAGGCCTCTTGGATGAAAGCGCAGCTGAAGAGCTACTTCCAGGCAGGCCCATTATTAGGAAGAGGGTGAGGGGCTGGGGGGAAATTGTGAAAGGAAGCAAGCAGGAAACTGGATTTGGAAATTTTTTTGAATAACATTTCCTGTCATGTTTGAAACATCTGACATCCTCTCCTGCCTTTGTTTATTAACTCCTACTTTGCTGACAACAGAAGGTCCCATTTTAAAAACTGCCTACATAGGGACTTCTCAAATTTTAACGTGTACACAAGTCACCTGGGGATCCTGTTAAACCAGACTTTGACTCAGTAGCTGGGGTGGGGCCCGTGACTCCGCACTTCCAGCAGACTCCCAGGTGACAGTAATGTGACGCCTCTGAAGCACATTTTACAGAACAAGAGCCTAAAAGACATCTCGTGTTCAAAACCGGCTCCCAGTTATCTCACTCTTGCTAGTGAGGCCTCATTTAATTTCAGTCTCTTTTTCCCATTCTCATGCAACCTCATGCCCCAAATCGGGTAAGTTTACTCCTATTCCTCCCCATCTCCTCCCAGTTAATTAGCTTTTCCTATCTCTGGTCTGTTCTCCCTCCAAATCAGCCTGCTTCAGATTAGCTTTCCTACAACAGGCAATCTGCTTAGGCAGCCACGGTTTTTTATGACCCGACTCATCAAATCTAGTTCCTTGATTTGGACTTCAAGGCTCTCCAATTTATTGTTCACTGGGCATCAGGCAATGTCTAGAGCCCTGCATGCATGAACTCACTTATCTTTACCGCTCTAAAAGTGGACAGTGTTATTCCTGCTTTAGATGAGGAACATGGAGGGCAGGCTGGTTAAGCTGCCTAGGTCACAAAGGTGTCAGAGAAGCCAATTTGGCTCCAGAACATGGTGAGAGACTATTATCTAGGGAGCTCACAGGTCTAAGTTTAAATGCAGGATCTGTCAGAAACTTGACGTCTTGCTTGGAGAAAGAAGTCCCAATCTCTTTGGACTCCATTTTTCTAGTCCATGAAATTGAAGAGCTGGATTAGATGACCTGTTACTGTTCTAGCACCTACCCACAGCACTGCATGCTGTTCCTTAACGTCCGGTGGACTGATTCACTGTCAACCACACTGACTGGCTTCTGCTATTTGTCCTCCTCTCCACCTCCAACCTTGCCTGTGCTGCTACTCATGTAACCTTGAGTGAGTTATCTACTTTCTAGTTGTTCTGGTTACCCAGTACTGCTCTGATAAGAATATACCACAAACAGGATGGCTTGAACAAACAGGAGTTTATTCTTACAATTTGGAGGCTTTAAGTCCAACTTCAAAGTGCCAGGCTCTAGGAACTGTGTGAAAGCCCCTCGACCTTGGGCTTCAGCTCTGCCTCTTGTTCCCGGCCCACTGAAGCTAGAGGCATCTCTCCACTCAGGCAGCTACTGGCTGCTGAGGCTAACAAGCCCAAGGCCGACAAAGAAAATGGCACAGTCCCGATGTTACCAAACCACACAGCAGGCCACTAATTAAGCCCATTTCTAAGTCCCAAGGTCGGCAGTGCATGGCAGGCTGCTGAACAACACAGCTACATGCAGGGTCCAAGTGTGCCATAAGCTAGTGACCATTCCCAAAGATGCTTATATATGGGAAGCAGATCACATCCCTAAAGCAGCTACTCAGCTGCTCCAATACATTCTGCCATGGAGTTAATTACCAATCTTACCATGGGGAATAACTACATCCAGCTGCCCAGCCACTCAACCAGGCCTAGCCAAGTTGACACACAAACATAACCAACACACTAGTGTATCAGTTTCTACATCTGTAATATCAGGAAAATACTTACTGCGTGGCGATTCTAGTTTAGATCTCAGTGCTTCTGTTCTGCTAGGATTTTTTTTTTTTAATTGTGATTTGGGTGAAGATTCACAGAGCAAATTCACTTTCCATACAGCAGTTCACATATACTTTGTCTCATGTCATTGACCAGTTTACCACAATGCAATAGCTCCCCTCCCATTTCCTCCCCATAGTTACCTCTTCCCTGTGTCCATCCCTCCATACACTCCTGCCCCCTGAGCTGTCTGCCTGTGCATAAGCAGCCCTTCCTTCTCCCATGAGTGTTCTCTCCAGGGCGTGTGTCTACTTGAGGTAAATGTTTAACTCACATGCCTGTATTTTGTTTGGCTGGAAACCACAGGTGTGGGTTCAATTCCTGACCTGAAGGGCAGCTAGGGGCCATAGTCTCAGTGGTTCCACCAGGCTCTATTGGACCAGCAAACCTGGTCCCCACCTTTTTTTTTTTTCCTTTCTCCAAATGATTTTGAGTTTTGTTCCACATTGTTCTCCCTCTCTATCCAGATCTCCTACATAGACCCCCCTCCAAGCGGAGGACATCTGCTAGGATTTCAAAGTACAAAATGGCTTGAATAATGGGCAATTGGCTGCATCGGGGCATCTCTTGAGCGTATAGTAATCCTCTTGAAATTGTATTTGACAAAATGAGTTTTGACCGTCAATCAGCCTTCCCCATGCCCCAGAAACATAGGCATCACTGGGTCATCAAGGCACCCTCAGGAACTCAAAAGAAATGTTCAGGCTAAGCATGGTGAGCAATGACGAAAACATACTCATGGCCATTAGAAATGCTTTTATTTATAAAATAACTACTTCAATATAAACATCTCTAATTATAAACACTATTCACAAGAGACTTGCGTTCCTGCCTTCTGCCCACAGCACAGCCAGCAGGGACCCTGGGGATAGGAGTCCATAGGTGTCTTCCCAATTCATGAGGATTTTAAGGCCAAATGTGCAGCTGGAGGAGCAGCAGCTTTAAGGCCGCTCTTAATTCATTTTCTTAAAAGACAAAATCCATAGTTTCCCGTCCCAAGGCAGGGTTCATATCTGGGGAAGACCTTAAGAATAAGAATCTTGCCAAACTAGAACATTTAGGAGGTTCCCATGTGAGGATTAGCAAGCATTTTCCTGAGACCGGTGGGCAGTCTCATCAGGCACTTCCACTGTTTGGCTCAGACAGTCCTCTCTGAAGCAGGGAGTTAATGATGAAACACAAAATGCTTATTTCCAAGTCTAAGATAATCTACTTCTGGGACCAGTGATCCTCATTCAAGTAAGACATGTGTGTTCTATTTTCTGCATCTGTGGATATAACCAAATAGCATTCCAAGTTGTACGCTTGGATCAAGAGAAAGGTACCCAGTATCCCACTGTGCTGGACTGGTTTCAGCTCATTGTAGAACTAATACTTTTAATGGAATGACTGGAACTCGGATCCTGTCATTCCAGGAAATATCAGTTATTGAGTCACAGGGAAAGGGTCATGAGCTATCATCACACGCAGACTCTATAATGTAGAGACGACTATCAGAAAGACAACCGTACACCTCATAAAGGAAGAGAACCCTTCAGACAAAACGTCAAAGGAAAATAAAGACCCCAAACACTTCTTAAAAGGAGAAAGCTGAATTTTGCATAACCAATGTGGTAATGCACTGATACAAATAAGAAGAAGCTTATAGATGTTAGTACTTTAAGGACTTTTAGAAATTAGCAGTAGACGTGTGTGTGCATGAATGTGTGCTGAGCACCAGAGGTGTCCTGGAAGCTTGGAAATACTAGGTTTGCGACAATCCCAACAAACTCACTGCTGTTTGCAGAGGCACAGCCTACCTACCACAAACCCCCTAGAGCCATAACTCTGCTTTTCATCCAAGCTGGTTTCCGGTCAGTTGACCATGGAGCATGGGGCCACCCCAAACTCAGTATGGCACAGTGCCCAATGGCAACATCTTCCAGTGCTATCGCATAGCTTCCAACATACATATGACACTGGTCTTCTGATTAGAAATTTCTCACTTCCATAGGCTGACCCCAGGACTTGCCTCTCTTATTGTGGTCACTGAATCATTTGTAAGACTCAGGGTCCATTACAGATTCTAAAAATTTTAGTGGGCATCAAGGTTTACAACCCAACTGAGAAGAACAAGACTATCTTGTGTCCCACCATGCCATGGTTAAGCAACGCAGACAGGGGTTATGTCCCACACAGGTGCCCACTCCTCATTAGACACCAGAACCCTTCAATAGACTGAAAGCCAAGGCAGCAAAACTGGGTGGGAGGCAGAACAGGTTCAGGTGTATTCAGTTTTGCGGATATAATTGGAAGGAACGTAGCCCTTTTTCCCATTGACTTCAGCTAACCACCACTCTGTGTTTCCTGTAACATCCTTAAACTCGAGGATCTTGAGTCTCTGATTGGCTGACACACTCAGTTCATTTGGGTTTCGTGCCTTGAAGGTATAGACGGCAAAATAGACCTGTGTGAGGGAGAGAAAACAAGTTAGAGCAGGGCTGCCCAGCAGAACTTTCTGTGGTGATGGGCATGTTCTTTCTCTATACTGTCCAACATGGTGGCCCCCTGCTCTATGTGGTTACTGAGCACTTGAAATGCGGCTAGTGAGATTAAGGAACTGAATCTTTGATTTTATTTAGTTTTAATTAACTTAAATTTAACTTCTTAGGATGTGCTGTAAAGAAGGAACTTTCAGTCACAATGGCAGGTGGATGAGATATGAGGATACCCTTTCATACCCCAAATATATAGAAATTCTGGAGGTGGCAGGGGGACCCAAACTTGTTGCCATCAAGTTGATGCTGATTTTTAGTGACCCTACAGGACAGAGCAGAACTGCCCCATAGGGTTTCCAAGGCTGTCAGTCTTTATAGAAGCAGACTGCCTCATCTTTCTCCCATGGAATGGCTGGAGGGTTCAAACTGCCAACCTTTCAGTTAGGAGACTAGTGCTTAACCATTGTACCACCAGGACAAGAAAGCAAGCAAGAAAGATCACCAGGTACCAAGAACAAAGAAAGATACAGTGCAAAGTGAGGGTGGTGCTCGGTGATCAGGAGAAGCAGCCCTGAGGCCCACGAGGGTACAAGGATTGATCATGCCCACTTCTGGGCAAGCGCCAGTTGTGCCCTCAACATGCCCTCTACCACCTGTCTCACGGTGGCAAACCAGCGAAGCATTTACCTGGTTGCCCTCTGCCTCACTGCTTTCTGGCTCTTCTTTCTTGTCTTCCACAGGCTGGGCTGTTCTTGCACACTCTTTTATGAGGTCTTTACTGTGTCCGTTTCGCCCTGGTACGGAGTAACCAGCCATTTCTGGATGCCTGGAGTGTCGGTAGCTCCTCGAGGTGGTAGTGGGTTGGGAAGCGTCTCTGGATGCATCTGCAGAGTCCCACGGCCTTGGCTGGGAGACCGAGTCCGGGTCTGAAAGGTTTCTGGAAGAGCTACTTTCTGAACTACCCAAGTTTAAAGGCGCACTGAGACTTCCATGGTCAATTTCCTTCAATGAAGATGTATCTGGAAGCTGCTGCTGGCAAGGCCCTGAGGTAAAGGACACGCTCATGCTGCTGGGGTTGAAGGTCAAGGTGCTGTTGCTATTCTGCCGTGGGAATCTGGGAGAGGAGTTGCTGTGCTCTGACTCAGTGGAGGAGTGGCTGCCGACAGAGACGTCAGAGTGGCTGCGACGAGGATTGTAGGGTTTCAGGAAGGAGCTATACACAAAGCCTTTGGTGACTATGGGAAGAAAACATAAGCATTAAGACTTTTTAGTAGAAAGAAGGAAGAGAGAAGTGAGGAGAGAAGGATCAATAATGAGACATGAAATGAAATGCCTAGCGACAAAACATGGAAACGTTCACTGTGGGTGGGCATGGCCTAAAAGCTATGGCTACCTGCCAGCTCATTTCTGTCATGACCTTGTAACAGAATATGATGAGGATAACAACCACATCTTGGAGAACAGGTACATGATGAGCAGTCAAAAGGATATCTAGATCACTGAAACAAAGGCTGAGGGGAAGACTTGTCCAAGTATGTGTTTGGTACACCAAGTGTGGTCAAGAAGGGGTGGTGTCTCGAGATAGCCCCTCACATGTGCCTCACTGCCCTCATTCCCATCCTTAACCCTTGGGTCTCCAGCCCTGGTTTGGGAACGCTCAGGAAATACTGGGTGAGTATTCTCATGTAGGAAGCAGTTTGTATTAGTTAGAATATGTACATAACACACATACAGAACACAGTTATTTTTATAAATGGCCTAACATGATGAAAGAGAGAGACAAAACCTGTAGGGCCAAATGTGTTTTAGAATTTAGGGTTTTTGCATTTTGCAAAGATAATCTAGTTCGTATATGTTCATAACACCACAGCCAGGTCTAGGTCAGCAATGCACAAACTCATTACTATTTCAGTAGCCAAACATATGACTATTTACACCAAAAGGCATAAGCAAAGATTATAAATACCCTCACATCATTCTGTTCAGGTTTAGCTATCAAATGAGTCCAGATCAGGCTGGGTTTTGGCAAAAGAGTGCTAAATTAAAAATAAAAATACAAAAAAAAAAAAACCACACTTCGTTTTTCAGAGCTGTGTGGATTTTGGCTTTGTGGGAAAAGGATTATAAAGCAGTATTATTCTTTATACTTTCTTTAAAATCTGTACATTCTCCCTCCCCTTGCAAAAAAAAGCTGTGAAAGCTATAAGCTTTTCTTAAAATAAATCCCTAAAGAACCACAAGGAAAAACTCAGCAAACAAAACAAATCTCCATTTTAGAACCCGCTCTTACAGGTTTTAAATTCACACACAAGACAAGGAATATTACAGAAATTCCTTGTAATTCCTGAGTAAACTGGAAGAGGGCAGCTTACTCAGAACAGGCTGAGAGGGAACAGGATGTCCTCAGGCAGTAGCTACTGCCTGTGAGGAGGGTTAAGACCTGGCAGGATCTTGCGAGATAAGTAAGTCTCCACTGGAATCTGCAACACCAAAACCAAGTTTTGTTTCAGTAATGATTTGGGTACATATAATACTCCCTAGAGATGTATCCACAACACATAATAACTTTCAAGGTTATTTTTCCGTTTCATCAAAGACTCTCATGTTCCTTTCTGGCCTACACAGGATTCTGGTACAGCTCACAGCACTTTTTCCTTACCTAAAGTTACACTAATGGGATGTCTACAATCTCACCTCCATTGTCAATGAGCCAGCGGTTCTGACTGCCCATGGGGTCTTTTTTCTTTATCACACCCACAAGGTCACCTTCCAACAGCGAGACATCCAGGTCCTGAGCAGCATTGAAGTTCCGCTCGACCTGGAAGAGTTTCTCAGGGGGATACCTCGCCAGAAGGGAAGCCCGGAGTTCTTCCGACTGGAGCATGTAACTTGGCTGAAAGGCAACCCAAGAGATGCCATCAACAAAACACCCTCCCTGGCCATTCTCCCAGCAGCCATATTTAATCCCAACACACAGTGAGGGCCTCAGAGATGAGAGCAGTGACAATCACCCACTCACTGCTGCCACTGATACTTCTGTGACAGTCCACGTGGCAGGTAAAAATCACAATCTCTCAGGTACGTGTTGCTGCCTTCATAGTTACTAAGAACATTTAGCACATGCTTAGTTTGACATCTGTTATGCTGTGACAAAAAAAAAAAAGTAACCTAAGAAGAAAAAGTAAAAGAATCAAAATACCTAAGGGATATTACTGTTGTTATGTGCTGTCGAGTTGGACCCGACTCATAGCGACCCCTCCTTGGGTTTCCGAGGCAGTATCACTACGGAAGTAGATTGCCCTATCTTCCTTCCAAGGAGTGGTTAGTGGGTTTGAACTGCCAGCCTTCTGGTTAGCAATCAAGTGCTTTACGCACTATGCTACCAGAGCTCCCAAGGGATATTACTAGGTCTTCTTGTATTTTTGGTTTTCTTATATTTAGCTATAAACCCTAAACAATTGGGAATTTTCCTATGTCTAACTTGCTCGTCTATAAAAACAAATATTTATAAAAATAATAAATCTGATTCTCCCTTTTAAGGTAAGATGCATCATTATTTATGGAATTATATGGGGCAAAATATTATATACAAAGACAAATTAAGCACAGTCTTTTAGAATATGGCCCAATATAATCTGTATATTTTATACTGCTTTTTAAATTATAGAGGAATTGAATTCAACAAGAATATACCTCCAGGTAAAAAAACAGTAAATCATTTACTGCTTAGTAGTATATCGGATAGTTATTACCTTTCCTAATATACGATCAAAAATAAGTAGGCTTGGCAGAATCAATACACTATCAATACTGTGCTAAGTCCCCTCATTATAACAGTAAGATTCAAGAATGATGTTCAGAGGGCACTGAATAAATATCAAATGTGAGGAAACCACAGGCAGAACCAGGAGGCTGCTGGTGATGCTCCGTAAACATGAATGAATGAGCCCATCAATGACGGATGAGAACACAATAACCTTGGTTCTCCATATCACACAACATTTAACTCTGCCTAAATTGTTAATGTGTACTGGCAGAGGTGGGTCCATCGATACTATAATAATGAGGATGATGATCATGACAACAGCTTACTTTATATAGCACTTACTATGTGGCCAGGCAGTTTCTAAGTCCTTTATACCTATTAACTCATTTAATCCTAATAATAATCCTGTGACACAGATACAGTTATTATCCCCATTTTACAGGTGAAGAAACTAAGGCAGAGAAAAGTTAAGTGACTTGCTCAAGGACATACAGCAAATAAATGTCAGTCCTGGGATCTGAGCCCAGACAAGCTCGCCTCAGAGTTCACCCTCTCAGCCACTAGCCCACACCACCCTTCCCTAGGAGTTCCGTACTCACCAGACCCAGGAGTGGCTTTCGAACAGACTGGCGGTCCATGGTCTTCCTCTCGAATGGCCTCCTGGCAGCTGGGAGGGTCTCCGGGAAGAAGGTGAACACCTGCAGGTGCTGCAGGGCTCTGCTGTGCTCTTCATGGAAGATGGCGATGAGGTTTCCCTCCCTGCCGGCGACTTTCAGTAACTAGAACCCACGGGAAAAGGAGAGTGGAGAGAGGAGAACGTGGATGAAAGATCCCGGGACTGACAAAGTCGCAGCGACACCACGTGAAAGCTCCAGTTCAGCAGTGTTCACCGTGTGTAAGGCACCGACACTGAGGCCCGAGGTGCGGCCTCATCAGGACACAAACCACCTGGGCACTGCCAACAGCAGAGCTGGCCAGCTCCTCTGGAAACTGCTCAAGACGCAAAGACACACAGGTGTCCTGGCACCATCAACACACTAAGAACTCCCATTTCTGACAGGCCTCACCTATGCCAGGTTTAATCTATCTCGTTTGTATAGGTCCCTCAGTGGTGCAAAAGGTTAGATGCTCAGCTGTGAACTGAAAGGTCAGTGGTTTGTGTCCACCCAGGGGCAACCACCCACTGAAACTCCCACAGAATGCAGTGCCAGACACGAGGCTGCCTGGGTTGGAATCGACTCAACGCTAACTGTTTAGTTTGAGTAATTCCGCAGACTACTGTGTGTGCCCGTAAAAGACTCCAGAACTTCCAGGAGTGCTTTTCCTCAGGAGAAGGAAGGAACTCACTGAAAGCAAAGGCTGTAACTGCCCCAGAGCCTGGTGCACGAAGTCGCTGTGGGCCTCGGCGTAGCCATGGACGCAGTTGGTGAAGAGGCCCTGGGCGTACTGGTGGAACTTGGGCAGCTCGTCCAGCAGCTGGGCGTTCAGGGCCTCGTAGTTGTTCCGGGCAGACTGTAGCTCCTCCAGGGTCTTCTTGTCTTTCAGCTTCTCCGCCCGCTCAGTACAGTTGTAGAAGTCCAGCAGCTTGTCAAAGCGTTTCTGTACCAGCTTGTGGGGCCCCGTAAACATGCTCAGTAACTGATTTAAGGGGGAGATGACAAGCCGCTCTGTCCTCTCTTTCTGTGGGGAAGATGAAGGCATGTGGCTCAGTTGGATTCTCTCAGTATCCCGTATTTGTTATTCTCCAAAATACTTTTAAGGCTGTTAGGTCCTGTACCATGTCCTTTGCCCCAGTGTATAAGCTAAACTCACACAGGTCCACAAGAGTAGTTTATATCCAAACACTAAAACCAAAAAAACAAGCTCACTGCTGTCGAGTCGGATCCCACTCATAGTGACCCCTCCTTAGGTCTGAACTGCCAGCCTTCTGGTTAGCAGTCAAATGCCTAAGGCATTAATTATGCCACCAGAGCTCCCATCCAAACAGTAAAGACTCCATTCACAACTCTTCAACAATTCAATACACCTACAGCTGTTTTCTTTGGATCAGTTATCACCAGTGATGCCAGAGTAAAGTCCTACTTTTCATTTGATCTCCGACACTAAGTTATCACCAGCTAAGAAATGTCTTCTGAACACATATACCCAAGTCCTTCCAATCCCTTCAGTAACTGAAAGTCATGTTCTTAATATGAAACCCTGATATGACTACAGCTAAGGGACAGCTAGTTCTGATGCAAGGAGAACATCTGATGTTGAAGGAGGAGCCCTGGTGGCGCAGCGATTAAGTGCTTGGCTGCCAACTGAAAGGCTGACAGTTTGAACCCACCAGCTACTCTGCGGGAGAAAAGATATGGCAGTCTATTTTCATGAAGGTTACAAGCCTTAGAAACCCCATGGGGCAGTTTTTCTTTGTACTACAGGGTCACTATGAGTTTTTGGTTGGGATGTTAAAGAGAACCCGGAAGGAAGCCCAAACCGTGGAGATGGGAGAACAGCGTCCCTTACAAAACTCGTGAAGAGCTGGTCACTGATGTAGCGATGCACCTTCTCGAGCTGCTCCAGCTCTCGGTTGCCCTTCTCCATGCACACGTCCCACATGCTCATGGCGGCCACCACTTTCACACATGCTGATTCCTGGAGCCATGTGGAAACAAACACAAGAAAGATCAGACACAACTTTCTAACCTCGATCGTTCATTCCACAGCAGTCTGGGACAGAAGGTTTCATTATTTAACATTTTTGCATAGTGGCTAAGGCACTTGACTGCTAACCAGAAGTCTGGCGGTTCAAACCCACCAGCCACTCCTCGGAAGGAAGGTTGGGCAATCCTACTTCCGTAGTGATACTGCCTCGGAAACCCAAGGAGGGGTCGCTATGAGTCAGGGCCGACTTGACGGCAAATAACAACAACAACAGCATTTTAACTTTCAAACAAACACGGCTCATAAACTATGATTTGTGGGGCATAGAGAAAAGTTTAATTAAGATTTTTTCAGAAAAACTGATGAGGACTTTCTTCATCTCTTTAGTATTTCTTTATGCCTCTAAATGAAGGTTTTCCCCAAAAAATTGTTTTCTTTTTTTGTTGTTGAGAATACAACATACATCAATCCAACAGTTTCTCCACGGACAGCTCCATTACATTCTCCAAGTTGTGCACCATTCACACTCTCACCCTCCTTTTCTGTATCGGTCCTCCGCCATCAACATAAACTCACTATCCCTTAAGCTTCCTATCTAGCTTCCAGGTTGCTGCTGTCAAATCTCATACACACTGTTCTTTAAAAGACCCCAATGCTCAAGACATTCTCTACTAATTAAGGCAAACTTCCCAGGTAGTCCCTAACTCAAGGTGGGGTTCTGTCCCAATGACTCAGTTGTTTGATGTTAGTCAATACTTCACTTTTTTTTTTAGTTTTCATTATCATTGTCATTTATATCAGTATCTTTATAAATCATAACACTGAACATCTGTGAGTGAACATCTGAGAATGGTAACATCAGCAAATTACATGCTGCAACACTCTGTAGTGTATGTTACTCATGATGAGACATAAAAAAACCAGATAGTCGCAAGTGTGGTTCATTGTCACTTGAATATGTTGTATAAGCTGGAGACACCTGTACTGTTTGGTTTAAGGAGCCCTGGTAGCACAATGGATAAGTGATCAGCTGCCAACTGAAAGGATGGTTATTTTAAACCCCCCAGTGCCTCTGGAGGAGAAAAGACTTGGTTATCTGTTCCTATAAAGATTTCAGCCTAGAAAACCTTGAGGCAATTCTACTTATGAGTCAGAATCGCCTTGACACACAACAACAACAAAGTCTGGCTTAAATAAGACTTTAGGAGATATTTTTCATTTAAGGTTTAAAGATTATCTAAGGACAACAGCTTCAGGGGTTCATCCAGCCTCAATGGCACCATAAATTCTGGATTCGGTAAGAATTTGAAATTCTGTTTCACACTTATCACATCCCCCCCCTTTTGATCAGGATTCTTCTACAGAATCTTTGATCAAAACATTCAATGATGGCAGCCAAGCACCATCCAGTCCTGGTTTCAAGGCAAAGGAAGCAGTTGTTCATGGAGGTGAGTAGCCATGCATTCCATTTCCCTAACTGGAGTGTTTCTTAAATCACCAAAAAGTGAATTATCACATTAGAACCAAGATGATTCCTTTAGGGTTATGATAATGAATTATTTGTTCTTCAAGTCTTAATCCGTAACTGTTAGCTTCTCAATGGCAGCTGCCAACCACCTACCGATAATTACAATCCTACAGCCCTTGCTGACTCTGACATGCCTGCTTCCTCTAGCCCTGTTCTGCCCTTTCCTTTCCTTGTCAGACCAAAATGTACCTTATAGCACACAATATAATCTACTAATGCTTGTCCATTATCTCTCCCTCTCTCCTACCCTATCTTCACTAAAATGTAAGCTCTATGAAGGGAGAAATTTTCCGGCTTTGTTTGCTGACTCAATTATTATTTGCTGAATGAGTGAACAGATAAGTGGGTGAATGCATAGTTAACACCTGATTAATCCCAACAGCTTTAGAATGTCAGCCTGATTTTCCTTGGTTACCTGGCACAGTGTTGGATGTCTGCCTGCTGTAAATTTAGGGATGTCGATACCAACCCAAATAAAACCTTAATGCAGTGAAAAAAAAAAAAAACAACCAAAGTCACTGCCATTGAGTCGGATCCAACTCACAGCGACCCCTCCTTGGGAACTGCATTAATAATATGTAAAAGGTCAATCGATTCCCTAAGCAAAAAATGTCAGTACCTCATAAATTGGCTTGATATTTTATGTTTATGATGTTTAGACCCTTTGTCTATATGTAGAGAGAGAGGAAGTTATCCAAAATAGATTAAGTAGAAAAATCATAGAAAGTATATGTATACCTACTCCTCACTCACCAACTATCTCATTATCCCACATTTTGCATTTAAGACCACAGTGAAAAATCTACTATTTGGCTATTTTGCACATTAACAATGTGCAGCAGTACATCGCAGTAACGAACAGCGTGAGGTGTGAGTAGAATTGGTTGTGATGGTTAAGGTTATGTGTCCACTTGGCTGGGCCATGTTCCTCAGGGGTTTGCCAGTTATGTAATGATGTAGTCAGCCTCCATCTTGTGATATGATGTGGTCATCCTCCACTTTCATGTAATGACCTGATCTCTGAAACCTAACCATGTCAGTAAGTGAGGAGTGGGTATATTCATTCACAGAAAAAGAGTGGATGGATATACACCATAGCAATGCTTCCTGTGGAGAAAAAAGGAAGTCGGATTAGGAGAGGAGAAATATACAGAAACTTTTTAATTCTCACTCTACAGAAATTCAGATACCAAATTATACTACAAATCTAGGAGCTCTGGTAGCATAGTGGCTAAAGCACTTGACTGCTAACCAGAAGGCTGGCGGTTCAAACCCACCAGCCACTCCTCGGAAGGAAGGTTGGGCAAG